GGGGAGGTCGCCAAAATAATATCCGGAAAAAATTTTTCCGGAAAAATTTTTTTAGATAGGGCCCCTAAAAAAAAATTTGCCCCGGGTCACCGCCAACCTCTGGGCGGCCCTGCAGGATCGCAGGTTCGATTCTTGCCAGAGGGCCTATAGTTACATTTTCCACAACTTCTTCTGGTTAGGTGTGTAGAAATATACAAAACTTCCTCTCGACATTAGATTGTGTAGCATTAATTCTGTTAGTTTGAGCATTTGCCCAGAATACGGTTCATATTACCAGTGACTTATATTCTCTTCTAAGGAATTGGAGGAAAAGCTTGCTCGGCGTGAAGAGGCCGCAGAAGTTGCCATGACAATGCAAAGTCAGATCTCGAAATATTACGAAATTGAATGCGAAAATTCAAAATTGAAGGAGGAAAATTCTTATCTAAAGTATGTTGAACTTTGTATTTTCAACCATTTCAAGGGGTAGGAAACCGCATTTGGGCCAAAAATGGTAGCAATTTCCGCACGCAATACAAAAGTATACAAAATTTTCAAAATTTGCTAGGCGCATTTTACAACATTTCGCGACCAAACTTTGCTATTTTTCTCATTTTAGTATGGTCTTTCTAGCTGTGGTGATTTATTTGCATCTCCTTGCCTAGTTTTAAAATTAGTCCATAATGGGAATTGTCTATTCTTATCAACCTTTATCCCTCATTTGACTGGAATTTATGAAGGGGATTTTTAATTATGGGGGTTTCCCTTATCCAGGGCAACAAACAAGAGTAATGTATTATTGAAAGAGAAGCTGGATGGTTGCCAAAATAAACTAAAACGGGCGGAAGAACAACTGAAGAATCTTTCTCAAGTCGAAGTTGAATGTGAAGTAAGTGGAAAATACAAGATTTGAACTTTGAGAACATGTCAAATTGTTATATATAGCTACGGTGAACACCAAACGCGATTGGCTGATTGGTGGTCACGTGCATGTATCCCGCCAGGCAACAAGTAAAAAATTGTTGCCCGCCCCGACCGGCCACGTACATAAATAATTAATAAACAAAATGGCGGCACAACTAGCATAATTACAAACTACGATTTTCCAAGTGTGTGTTCAAATAAAGAATGTAAAAGAGAAGAAAAATACACAACAGGCAACAGGATATGCTGCTGAAACCTTGTGGAGAGGTGCACACCTACCCTGAGATCGTTTCGCACCTCCCTTCGGGAAAGTTTCAATGATAGATCAAAGTGAAAATTTGACGTTTTTTGGTTGCTTTTTATTGCAATATCGTTGGGAATATTGCAATTTTGATTGCGTGAAAGGTGAAATTCACAACCAGATTTGTAAACAAAGTCTCTAATTGGTTACTAGTAGCCAAGAAGAACCAATCAAATACTCTGGGCAAATTTTGATCACGTCGGTTGCAACTTGCTCAGAGCAATCTCGCAGTCAAAATTGCAATATTCCCAACAATATTGCAATATTAAGGGGAACAGAACATCCGGTTTGACTGTAATACACTTAGTGTCTGCACCCGAGGGAAATAGTTAGTTTTGTTTTCCCGACTTCGTCTCGGGAAACATTGAGATTCGAGGGAAAACAAAACTAACTATTTCCCGAGGAAAAAGACGTTAAGTGTTTTGTTATATAGCAACGAAACAAATATCAACATTGAACAACATTCATACAACAATATTTGTATTTCATGACAAAAACTCTATAGCGTAAACGAGTTTAAAATTTAAAAAACCTACTTAAATGGTTTCAGCAGCATATCCTGTTGCCTGTTATGTATTTTTCTTCTCTTTTACATTCTTTATTTTAACACAAAGCCACGTAAACAGTAGTTTAAATAGTATAAATTTGTGCCGCCATTTTGTTTATTTATGTACGCAGCCGGTCGGGGCGGGCAACAATTTTTCACTTATTGCCCGGGCGGGATACATTGCATTTATCTAAAGCCACGTTACTACAAATCAGCCAATCACGTTTGGTGTTCACACTAGCTATATAACAAGCTGATTTATTACCCATGAGTAAACTTTTTTGCTTGTTCAAAAAAATACATACAATTTTGTGAAAATATAATTACAATATATACAAGCGATCGTGTACAGAACATTCTTGAATTCAAATTGCTTTACATTACACTTAACTTACACTTGCACTAATTATACACTTTCAATATACACATACAGTAGTACAGTTACAACGATTCTGCTGGTGTCTACGACCCTTGATATCTATTAATGTTATTAAATAATATATTGGTAATATAATAAGAACTTCGTCAATACATTGACACAATACCATAATCTCCTGATTATGACCTTGACTGCCGCTC